GGTTACTACGGATGGTAATTGGGATTGGGCGAGGAATACGATCCAGCGCCAAAGGGAACGAGAGAAGGGGTAGTCCCTCAGGATATGGAGTGTAGTTTCAAGGGAGGCGTAGCATAACGGGCAAGCAAGATTGTCCGTAACCCTTCGTTTACCTCGCTTAGCATTTGTCATGAGTTTCTCTTTGACTGCAAACCAAATGAAGAGTCTGATCCTTTGCGGGACATGGCGTGACCAGACAAACTTCCAAGAGGAGTCTTTGGGATCCCATCGATCTTCTAGGAGGAAAATATAGGCGGAGTGTACTTCAAACCGGTGGTCTTTTGTCCAGCGCCACACCAGGCCATCGAAATATCATTGACATTTGGCGGTTTGATACTAGCAAGATGGTCTAGAGCAGAACCGTTTAACACTCGAGAGAGTGACGCATAATCCCACTGATTATTAGTGTTCACAAAATGATTCAATTTCGCACCAGGATCAATAATCTGAGGATGGAAGGCGTAGGCACGAAGAGGCCCCAATGAAGGAAGCCAAACATCTTAGCAAAAGCTTATAGAATATTAATTTGTTGAATCTTTTAACTATTAAAAATTATAAAACTATCTTTCAACTATAGGCGTTGCTTGGTTGAATCACCGACTACAAAATAATCATACATCTATTCATATGTTCTAAATTTGTTCTTTTTCGTTAAAAAGTTGACAGTTGTCTGAGCTGGACGTTAACCTAATGACCATGATTTAATAAAATATGATATTAAAACCTTAAACGACTATCATATCTCAATCAACATGTTAACGTCAAACTCATATGACCGTAAAATTTTAATAAAAAAAGGATAAATTTTGAGCATATGAATTTAAACTTTTGTCTTTATCATTGAACTTCAAAACTTATTTTCAAAGTTGACCTATTCTATCCTTATACACAAAAAATTAAAAATCTAGAATAATATTTAAAGCCAATAAAGTTTTTTGATATAATAAATTATTGGAATTTGTAAAATTATAAAAAACCATAAAGTCAGAAAATATGAAAATTTGTAAAAAAATATTATTAAAAGTTCATTACTTATTCCATCAATAGAAAGAAAAAAATAGAAGTTTCAGGCTGAAAAAGAGTTTAAGGACTAAAATGGTTTTCTATAAATATTGAGGGCCCAAAATGTTATTAAACCATAATTGTGTGAATAGTATGCGCAGTATGATTTAACTGTTAGATGTCTTGGCTGTTCACCAGTATAAAAGAGCATAGAAAGCAGGTGGAGGAAAGGTAGAGGAGAACATTAGCCACTGGGGAATTTTGAAGAATGGAAGGTTACATGAACCAGAAGCTGCTGAATGGAGGCAACAAAACTGAAGTGGAAGAAGCAACGCTGAGAGAAAAGATATGGAGGGAGTCGAAGAAGATGTGGGTAGTGGCCGCCCCTGCAACCTTCACCAGGTTTTCGACCTTTGGTGTCACTGTCATCAGTCAAGCTTTCGTTGGTCATATTGGTCCTACTGAGCTTGCTGCTTATTCCCTTTGTTTTACTGTCCTTGTGAGGTTCGGCAATGGTGTTTTGGTATGTTCTTATTTCATCACGTTTTTCTTCATCTTGGGGCTTAGTTGTTTGAAATAAGAATTGCGTTTCAGACTTTGTTGCTTGGGTTTCTTTCACTGATGAAATGAGATTTAACGGCGGTCTTGATCATGTATCATGTATCAAGCATCAACTTTATTTTTAGATAAGCTTTTTTTTTTTTTTGCTTCTGTTTGTGAAATAAAAAGTTTGAGACTTTATGCTGTTTTATTTTTACCTCTGCTACCAGAATCTCTTATTTGGCTTGTTTCAGAGGAAGTATCACCATTTACCCAAAGTAAAAAAGTAGCCCATTTAAGCGCTCTTCCCATCTGCGTTCCCAGTAAAAACTTTTATGAGTTGTAGTAATCCAAGTAAAAGGACAATTTTTGCTTGGTTTTTGAGGGCCTAGACTAGATGACTTCATCTTTAAATCAATCTGAGATGATCAGTTTTTGGTTCCATGGCTGATCAAGTTGACATCATTTGATTTCCATTTAACACCTAAAGTATCAACAATAGAAAAACTCTATCAGTTTAATTTAGCCACGGGGTTGAATATCTATCTGGGCTTTGGAGAAACATTTGATTTATCAGATCTGCTCTGAATTCCTTAATTCCCTTCTTTACTTTCAAGCTATGTTACCAGTTCAGTGTAAAAAATGGATATATCTCTAAACACGGTATATTGTTGATGTTTTCCGAATGTTTCGAGTGTGCAGTTGGGCATGGCAAGTGCATTGGAAACACTATGTGGTCAAGCATTTGGAGCAAAACAATACCATATGTTGGGGATATACCTACAAAGATCGTGGCTAGTTTTGTTCTTGACTGCATGTTGTCTTCTCCCTTTATACATCTTCACTACTCCAATTTTAATAGCTTTAGGCCAAGATGAAAAGATCGCCCATGTGGCCGGTTACATTAGCTGTTGGTTCATCATCATCGTCTTTTCTTTCATCATCTCCTTCACTTGCCAAATGTTCTTGCAAGCACAGAGCAAGAATATGATCATTGCATACTTGGCAGCCTTCTCCATTGGGATCCATGTCTTTCTTTCATGGCTTTTGACTGTGAAATTCAAGTATGGGCTCGCCGGAGCTATGTTTTCCACCGTCCTGGCCTATTGGATGCCGAATATAGGGCAGATTTTATTTGTTACTTGCGGTGGGTGCAAAGAGACTTGGAATGGCTTCTCAATGTTGGCTTTTAAGGATCTTGGCCCTGTTGTGAAGCTGTCTTTGTCATCTGGTGTTATGCTTTGGTAAGGTCTTTCAGTCCATTTACGAGTTCTCTTGACAGAACTTGCAGATTTTCATTTGAGAATTTTGTCTTTGTGGCCAGCCTTGAATTCTGGTACAACACAATCTTGGTTCTTCTAACTGGAAACTTGAAAAATGCTCAGGTCGCCATTGATGCTCTTGCCATTTGGTAAGTCTTTCTGGTTTTCTGACTGCCTCCAAAAATCCTTTTGTTTTTTCCCCATCCTATTAATATTTATAAATGCTTTCTCCTTTGCAGCCTCAACATTAATGGATGGGAAATGATGATATCACTTGGTTTCTTGGCTGCTGCAAGGTATTATAAACTTAAAACTCGAGAAATTCTATATTTTGTATGTCGGATTCGGAAGTTGAGTTAGATACGAGTATACGATAGACTATGAGCTATGTTTATACGGTCTCGGTTTTGAGTGTCTGACAAGTAAGTATGTGTCTGGAGTATGAACTGAGTATGTTGAACAATGTTTCTTTTATTGTAAAATTTGCAGTGTTAGGGTGTCAAATGAACTTGGAAGAGGAAGTGCTAAAGGTGCCAAGTTTTCGATCATACTGACAACTCTTACATCACTTGTTATCGGCTGCGTGCTGTTCGTGGTATTCTTATTCATTTGAGGACGTTTAGCATACATTTTCACGACCAGCGAAGAAGTGGCCAACACTGTTGCTGATTTATCTCCATTGTTGGCTTGTTCCATTCTTCTAAACAGTGTTCAACCCGTGCTCTCAGGTAAATTCCCACCACCTTCATAGATCTTATATCTTCATATCTACGCGCGATATACGAGTAAAGATCGTATAGACTACATCTAACTGAATTTATGTATATATGAACAGGGGTTGCGGTTGGAGCTGGATGGCAGAGCATTGTAGCATGGGTTAACATTGGCTCGTATTATCTAGTTGGCATTCCTATTGGTGTTGTGCTTGGATACGTTTTGGATATGCATGTCAAGGTTGGGTTTCTTAATCAAGCTTTGTTTATATATTGAAAATGAACAGGTACACGGTTCTTCCTCTTTTGCTGCGAATTCATTTATTTGTTTATTTGTGTTGTGCAGGGTGTTTGGGTTGGCATGCTGCTAGGAACATTGCTTCAAACTGTGGTTCTCATTGTTATCACCTACAAAACTGACTGGGATAGACAGGTAATCTGCCATGAAAATGAAAAAAATGTTCCCATCTTTTCTTTTCTTTTTCATTCGAATATCCAACTTATACCAACATTATCAATCTGCAGGTGGCCTTAGCTCGAGCTCGAGTTAATAAATGGTTCGTGCCAGAATCCAGAGACGAGAACTGCAGCATTACGGAAAATGCGACTGCCTGAGAATTTTGATGTTTTCTTTTCATATTTTGAATTGGATTGGGACATTATGTTCATCATTGGTTTGAATTATGATTTAGATTAATTTTGGGGATTCATCGGTTTCAAGAATGCCGAGTGAAATCTGCTTTTAGTTCACATTAATAATCTGTAGGTAGGGAATGATAGTTCTAAATCGCCATCCTCGGTTACAATTTTGGGTTTTTACGCATTACATACTGCATTCAGATTTTTCTTCCCAGGAAAAAATGTCTTGTACAATTTTAATCTTATTCACGCGCAAATATGATAGTTGTCACAATTATAAGTACATGACATGAACATATCAATCTTTTTAGTATTGCAACAAGTGATTTTTTAATTCCACAAACAAACAAAAAACCTAATTGAACATATTAAAGTTTTATATTTATTAATAGTATTACAATAAGTGATTCTCTTTTCCACAAACAAAAAATAATTCAATTTAGTTTACATTTTAAAATAAAAATATGGCAAACCAGTCCAAAATCGGATTTTTTTTTTTAAATCACGCTACGGCGTACACATCTTGGACAACAGTGCAACTCCGGAATCTAATTTTGTTGCAGATTTCCCTGCTGTGGATGGACCGAGTTTTGCGCCATAAATAAAACTAGCAAAAAATGTTATTTCAAGGACTTTAAATGGCTGACACCATGCTAGTTCCTTTGCTACTTTCCTACATAAAACATGCAGGTCAGGTACTAGTGTGTACTAAAATGGGAGCTGATGAGACCCCTGCAACATTTTAGAACATCTGGCTAATCCATGTTACTCCGCAGAGCAAGTGATGTCGATGATGATGACGAAGGCATGCATGGTCATGCTCTGATTTCAAGTCTAACACAACAAAAGCCTAATAATTCTCTAACTAATTTACATTATACATGGCCATCTCAGCCTCCATAATTTTCAAGGAAATATAATGTCAATGGGTTTGCCGTTGATGCCACCATGTAGCTCACTGTCTAGGTACAGGTGGTGTTGACTGAGGGTTTTGCCCATAAAACACGATGCCTGGTGGCCGGTAAAATCCTCCAGTGGTCGGTTGCTGCTGAGGCTGAGATTGTGGTTGTGGCGGCTGTAGAGGCTGATAAGCAGGCCTAACTAAATTCATTGCCATATGTGGGGGAAGAGGAGGTGGAGGTGGCAGTGCATTTGTTCCATAACTATAAGGCATTACCCCTCCTATCATACCACTCGATTGCATGTATTGACTTGAAGGAGATTGTGGTGGAGGGGGAGTGGCAGGAGAAGCGGAAGTCATCGGAGTTTGAATCAGGTTGCCTTGGGACACCGATTGCATGCCATTTGATGATGCAAGTTCCATGTTGTTGATTGGCTGCTGCTGTTGCTGGCCAAGATAAGATGCACTGCCAATGTCCAAATTGCTTACATTGGACACAGGCATTGGTTTCTCAAGTTTGGGGCGCTTTTCTGGAGGAAACATTGATAATCCCGATGCAAACCCACTGGACCTGGCCACTTCTTCAGCAACAAGGGATGAAAGTACAGAGGTAAGCATCTGAGCAGAAGATGTTGAAGCAGCAAGCTTAGCCGCAACAGCAGCAGCAGCTGCTTTCTTGCTATCTTCTTCAGCTGTTTTTGAAGGTGCAAAGGAAATCATAGGTTGCGGAAGATGAGGAGTGCCGGTTGGCTGAACTGAAGGAATGTTCTGTTCAATCACGGCCATAGCCTCTGCTGTTGGGATAGATGTAGCAGTTAGATGGCTAGAGCCAGCGGGTAAAGTAAGGATCTTCCTTACATTGCTTGATTTCTCAATATGACCACGAGCAACCTGCACAAACATCAACAGTTTCACTTCATCTCGGAAAAGTGCAAATCTTTTACAAGTTCTATATCACATAAAAGTACAACCAAATAATTGAAGCATAAGGATAATACGAATATAATAAGCAATCACTTCTTATCTAATGCTAAAGCCCGAAACATACATTTCATTCCAATTGATTTCAGATAAATTCATACGTATTTGCATATAGAATCAGAAGATGTCCACCTAAAGATACACAATATCATAACATGGGAATGTGAAAGGTTTGGCTCATGAAAGGAATAAAAAACTAGTGATACACTTTCCTATTTGAATTTTCTACCCTATAATACGCCTAGTGTCCAGATTCCCTACCTATAAAGGTTGCCTAGTGATAAAACAAACGTCTTTACACCTGAGATGAAATCCTTAGTGATGATAGATCTTGCATTATCTAGGACTTCTATTCAAGAGGGCATTTCTACCTATTGTGACCTGTGTTTTTAGGAAAAATACCTTGACACAACATCCATGGATCTCTAGGAAGTTTATTCTCAAATTACTATAGAAAATGTTTCGTAATTGTTACTGGGGGCACCAGGTCAAGTTTATAATTCCATCCAACATTAACACATATAACATTGCAAAAGAATTCTGTTTTGAAAGAGGGATTTAAACAGACAAAATTTGCAAATTTATGAAATCTATTAACTGCAAAATATCAATCAAGAAATTCATTAGCAAGACAAGAATTCTTACTTGCAGCTGACTGTGAATAAGCTCTAGCTTTGATTCCTGAAAAACTTCAAACTAATGAGTGCTCAAAGGACAAATTATTCCAAATGACAATTGCCAACTGAACAAGAAGATAGTAATGGCATACTTGTTCTTGAAGTGCTTCTTTGAGTTGGAAAATCAAGGCAGCCCTTGTTGTTTCAACATTTTCAAGTTGTTCAATGCATTGTTGGACTGCGTTTTCTTGCTGCTCTAGCTCATGCAGCAAAGCAGATCCATTCTGATTCCCTAAACAGAGTTGAGTACATATTCTTAGAATTTTTACATACACATAGTTAATCAAAACTAAAAGCAACATATTTTAATAAAATAGAAATTTAGTTACTGAAAAAACTCAGGGGTTTAGTCAGGTCAAGTAACACAGCTTGAAGCCTCAAGGGATTTAACTGCACTTCCTCGTTAAAATGTGAAACTTCTTTTACCACAGGGATATTTGAAAAATAGGAGCACAAGAAGTGAGCTGAATATATATATTTAAGAGAGAGAGGCAACTAAATAATGATAGGATTTTACTTTTGATAATAGATTCCAATAATTTAGAACAGTTAAATGGGCTTCGTTTACTGGTTTCTACCTGAGAAATGATGTAACTAACAAGCTCCAAGAGTCCAAGTAGGGTCTTGGGTAGATTGTATATGTTAGAGATCCAGTATTTGATACCTAGGAAGAAATAACTACAAAAATAGACTTAAAGAGACCAAAAATGTGAAGTATAATCAGAGTTAAGGTTGCAAGGTGCATGCTTGCTTGAATATGAAGGCACAATAGTTATAGGAGTGTGTTTTTGTGTGTTTGTATAAATATAAGTAAATGTATGATATAGGTATTGTCAGAATGGGTTATGACCGGTGAACTATATGGAAGTTGGGAATTTACCCTACCGAGAGACTTGACCCAAGATTAAGAATGGCGGGTAATTATTTAGGCTCATCAATTTATTTCTATCTTCATAAATCTAAAATAACAAGTATTTAATAGATCGAACAGTAAATCATAATTGCTTGTCATTTTCTTCAAGATTTTTACAGCTTCAGCATTTTCTTTTCCATAGCGAAGAAGTATCAATAAAGATTATACTAGAAAACACTTTATTACAACGGCGCAACTCCATGTCAAAAATAGTATTAATCTGGGAACACACAAACCAGTATATGCAAAGGGAGGGGAGATATGGTACTCTTCTTGTTTCATTGTAAATAAAATCATGATAAAATGTAAGCATATCACATTTAATCCCACAGCAGAACTCGTACCTTGAGCTAAACTACTTCCAACATTTTCCTCAATTTTAATCAAGTTCTGTACTGCAGCACTGCATTTGTTTAAAGCAGTATCCTCATTTGAATTGTCCTCGATAACAGATTGATATGCACTTAGTATCTTTTCAGGAAGACCTCCAACAGCTAATTTCTAAAAGTAAGATAACCATGAGAAGAAAAGAATATCCAAAATATGAAAGGAACAAGCCCAAGAAATGTCTATCCATTAAAGAATACAGACAAAATGGGTATAATCAAATTGAAAGATTGAGGAGAATTGAATAGATAATTCCTACGATTCTCACTGCACGAGCATCCCTCTTCACTGTCTTGATAGGATTTGAGCTTTTTCCATTGTTCACAAACGGTGGTGGGAGACTCTTACTGAGTATTTCAGATTTAAGATTCTGCCCTCGAGTGCCAAAAACTTTTCTTTCTTCCCATATGTCAATCTGAACATTATCATACACATGTAACAAAAGTTTTTCTTAAGAAAGTGATAGGACAACCATCAAAATAAATAAATTTTATCAAACCATCAGACCAGTAGTCAAAATATCAAGTAGTAATCCATTTGAAAAATGCAACGAAGTGAAGACTGCTCAAAATTGAATAATAAGTTACCAGTCTGGTTACAGCTTTCTTTCCGTTATCATCACCATTGTCGTACACATGTTTGAGGGCTGCAGGAAGAACTTTCCAGAATTCATTCACAAATTCACTTCCCTTCCGTCTGCTATTTTGCAATATGTCGTTAGCCAAATACAGAAAGGAAACACGCCGTTCTTTCTGAGAAGAGTTGAATAATTTATCCCACGTTTCAACAATTTGTTTTGCCTTCTTCCGGTGAGTAATACACCATCGAGACAAATCTGAACCAATGTTAACGAAATTCATGCAAACAGCAACTCATGGGAGAAATACAATGGTATATTCAGCAACAAAAAGATAGTAAGTGGTCATTTTTTTTTGTTTTGTTTTGGTGGGGGGGTGATCTCATGCAAGAACTATTCCTTCTCACTGAAGTCTGTCTATTTAGAGAGAATTATGCTGAGAGAGTTCCATATGCAGATAGCTTTTATCTATACCAAACAAGAAGCTATAAAATTTATAATGCTAAACCCTGAGAGTAAAATGTTCTGATGAAAAGTTTTAGAGCATCACCACACTTCAAAGGATTACATTACTATATGCAAATTATAAGACATTTGGTTGAAGACAAATCAACTAAACAGACCTAAAGTAATTAAAAAATGTCTAACAATTCTTCAGCAAAATAAACAGCGAATAACATCAACATCACCAATACATTCCTAAAGAATCAATCAAATCTAAGGCTTGATACGTTATGATTAAGACCACACAAATGAAAATCAGAGTTTCTGACAATTTCATAAATTTATTCTACTTTTAATTTAAATGACATGAGTTTAGCATTTGATAAAATAATATTTCATATGCCACAAGAAATGGAACTTAGGTAACAGAAAATGGCTTGAATTTGCAATCAAACCTCACTTTCACATTAAAAGAAAAAAATTCAACTAGATAAAAGCTAAATTGTGTAAGATCTCCAAATCATGGTACTAAATGTACCAAAAGAAAAAGTCCTAATAATAAATACCTTTTGAACAAAAACTGAAGAAACTACATACAAAAGAATCTAACGCAATCCTAGAGTGCAAAAAGAAATATAAAATGATACTAAAAACACACCACCTTCATCAATTATCCCATTCTACCATCAATGGCAGCATTGAAAAAGAAAACGCATCAAACCAACAAGATTAGTTGGAGGTAATGTCCAAAGTCCAAACTAATTTCAAAAGTGCTACAGAAGAAACCATTCCACACCACTCCTTATATTTCAATGAAGATGACCATCGACGAAAAAATTAAATACGGGCACCTACTTCATGCCAGCCATTCTGTCCAAATAGTTAGTTAGAAGTCACTTCCTAGTGGAAAATAATAGAATACTGATGAAGCAAATGATGACCATATAAGATAGACAGCCATGGGTCCAAAGCAAAATAGCTAAAGGCAGCATAGCTACGTGAAAATTGTCCAAAAAATGCATGATTTACAAACAGAACAATGTTAGTGAAGTGTAAAGAAAAAAAATCAAATGATACAAGTGAAAGAAAAAACTTAAAACAAAGAAAGCAAAATGTTAAAAGTCCAACCAAAACAACAGCTTCGATAACAAAAAATATGTTACGATGATTTTTACAAAAGTTTCTATGCAGAACGCTGGTACAGTCATCCAATACTAAATTCATGCACAGAAACTCCCAGACAGTAAGAAAATGACAAAAACATATGGCTACAGTAAGGGAACCATAACATGATAAATCTAGAAGTGCCACATCACCTTACATCATAAAAAAACATATGCATGACACACCATGAGGGAAAAGATACAGGATACAATCTCAATCAAATCTACATGTAATGTTACATGTTTACACAGTTAGAGAAATGCTTATCTGATTGAAAACAAGATAAACAGAAAAAAAAATCCTCTTCTTTAGTTATGAACTTGAGAACTAGATTCCAGTAATCAAGAATGTTAATGTATTTATACAAGACTAGGAAATGAAAAATACCAAAAATCCCGAATTAAGAATGAAATTGTAGGATACATTCGATGCTTTGCTGTGAATTGTTGAGTTTTGACAGCTTCTCGGTTAGTATCTGTTCATCAAAAGCATCATTGCTCATCTTGCTGCTTAACAAGCTTTCACATAGCCTGCAGTAAGCCCTTTTAGATGCAGGAATTTGGAAGGGAAGGGACAAGGCAGCAGAGAGAAGCATAGTAAAAGAAGGTAGACTAACTATTCAAACATTTTCTAGAAGTTTGAAATGAATAAAACAAGAAAGCTCCTTATATTTCATGGAAACTTTGATGCAAGCGGAATAATTCATATTTTGTTCAGAGAGACAAAGTACAAGATATTTCTCTCATGATTCAGGTTACATCGACCCTTTCTCCAACATTTATATAAAAAAATTCCCATATCATTCTTAAACACAAATATCTTCTGAAGGACCAGAAAATAGCTATTAATTTCCTACGTCAAATAAAAATCGAGAACACCTAAGATCCCATATAATCAGGTCAGGTTTGTTAAGGGTTTAGTCAACCATTAAAATCAATTCAAAGCCCGTTCTCCACCCATTCGCAGCCTATTTGCATCATGTCATTTTACTTCAATGGTAACAGCATCAAAATAGCCATCTCATTTTTCCATAGTGGCCATCATCAGATCTAGCTCAAAAGGTAGTTCCCTATTGAAAGTTTAGAATTTTAAGGGGAAAAATTAAAATGTATGATTCTTGAAGCACACTTGACCATGATACATGATAGATACTCATTTCAAGGATATTAACTTTGTAGCAAATCATTTGATTTCGGTATTCAAAAACAAGTGGGAATTTCTTTGCTGCATCCATGACATTCTGGTTGCAAAAGAAAACAGATTGTAATCATAACAACTCAACAACTAGCATTCATTACGAATGATATGCCCAAGGACATCTGAGGTAACAACATCACTTTCCAATAGCGACCAGTAGCTTGGTTTGATAAAAACTAGCGTCTTAGGAAGCCAAAAGATGAGATCATGTCCTTTTCATCAGGAAAATCAATTTGTCTAAAGGTAAAGTGCATCTAATAGATCAAAAAGTTGATGTAATCATTTATCACTTAACTAGAGTTATTGAGTTTAGCAGTATTTTGGTTTGCTAGCATGGGCCTCGGCCATGGTTCATTGAGTCTTATTTTCTGTTTAATTCAGCTACTACATATGGTCCTTAGTTTATATTACTTGATTTTATAGCAAAGTATGATGATTTTATAAATCCTTTTCCTAGTCAAAGAAGGAAAAAAGATAATTTGTCTATATCTCTTACGATTGCCAATCTTGGGGGGGGGGGGGAACTGATTTAAATTTTAAAGAAAATTTGAGTTATTGAGTATTCATAGAAATTTGTGATTGAGTTCTCCCTACCTCAAATTCTTCTCTCGTACCACAGTATCTAGAATTACTTCCCTTCTTTGCAACCTAACTACATTCCTTCTCTTCTTACTTTGAAGCCTAGTTCTTGCCACATATCTTCATATCAATTCCCACTAGCCAAACCTATTGATTGAACACCTAAAGTTTCCTTAAGTTTATCCTTCTGTTGAGATAAAATCTCAATTAATCCAATCATTAATTGATTCGGAAACCCTAACCTTATTCCTACAACAGCAATAAATCATAAAGCCCCCCATCTAGTCCTCAGTTCACCACTGAAAACCACAAGTAGTAAACGATTCGACACTCTTTCCCAGACTATTTAAGTGTGTCCAACAAAATTGATTTTCACAAACACGGTTGAAATTTTTTTGTAGAGAATATAACTACTCAATTTTTTTTACCAGAAATGAGATTAAAAGATTCGACACTCTTCCCCAAACTATTTTAGTGTGACTAACAAAATTGATTTTCACAGACATGGTTCACCAAGAATTCTTTTGTTGAAAATATAACTACTCACTTTTTTTACCAGAAATGAGATTAAAAGATTCGACACTCTTCCCCAGACTATTTTAGTGTGTCCAACAAAATTGATTTTCACAAACACGGTTCACCAAGAATTTTTTTTTGTAAAAAATATGACTCAATTTTTTTACCAGAAATGAAATTTTGCAAGTATTGTCGGTTTCCTTCACCTCTTTCAGTGATAAAACAGCAGGATAAGCTGGAATCCTTTCTCAAACTTTCACAAATTTACACTTCACCCTAAATCCAGTGAATACCTTGGCATCAGTCTAACAAATTATTACTGACGATACAGAGTCAGTTAAAAACCAAATTTCAACTATAACTTTCATTTTCTCCATGACTTAACAAGCTAAGGCCTTCTCCAGTTTCAAACTCAGTCCATCGAATATATTGATTTCTTTAACATTTCTTCTACTGCTAAAAAACATTCATACGAATCTCTCCAACTATAAGACCTTTTCACAAGTAAAAGTTTTTAGTAAAACTAACTGGAAACATTAAAATTAAAATTATTTAATTTAAAGCTGATACATATAAAAATATTAAAACCGGGAACGAACTATCAGGGAAAAATGAAATCTCAGCTGTGCCCAATATCAAAAATTTTAACTGATATCAGTTTAGAAGAATTCAAATTTTCAATTCCAATTCTACTTAAGTTGGCTAAAAACAATTCGAAACCCTAAGGTTTCCAGCTGGCGAAAAAATCCATACAAGTTTCCAAAGCGGAGAGAGAACAAACAAAGTCAATTACGATAAGAAACAAAGAACGAACCTGGCATTGCTTGCAGCAGTAGAGAAATAGCGACTACTAGGCAGAAATTTTGGTCAAGATGGCAAAAACCCCTAAAAATTTTAGAACCCCCTCGTTATTATTATTATTATTTTGCATTTTGTTTTATAAATTATTAGACTTTATACAATATTACGTCTAATTCTCATTTTGTCTCTATATGTTTTTATCCTTAATTATATTTACCTCATTAGTATTTCTAATTTAAATTTTTTTGGACCATTCAAAATATATAACGTGTTATAAAAAATAAAAAAAGCCATAAAAACAAAAATAATCTTAAATATATAAAAAAATAAAAAATATATTTCTAATTTCTAATTTTTAAAATTTGAAATTATATTTTTAGTTATTGTAATACCCTAAATTTGTCCTAAAAATGAATAGGGACAATCATAACTGTTTTTTAAAAATAATATTTAATTGTTCTACCTAAAAAATGATTACGACAGTTATAATTATGATTAATTCATTTTAAAAAATAAAAATTCATAATATTATTTAAAAAGTTACAACTAAAAAAATCTGATCTTATAAAAATGTTTTTTTATCTTTTACGTATATTTCTTTCTTTCTTTTTTTCATTTTTATGAAATTTATAATTTTTTAAAAAAATTAGAAAATTCAAAAACTATTAAAATACTAAAAAATCAGAAAATTCTAAAAAAAACGTATAATTTATTTTTTAAAACTTATATTTTTAAATCAGAAAAACCATATTTTAGATCCAAGGATTATAATGTATTTTTCAATGAATAAATCTTATAAGACCAACATCACAGTTTGTCTTTTTGAAGAAGTATGAGAAAACAATTCCACAGATATTATTAGAATTGAAGATTTCTACAACCAATGTATATAACTTTACACAAAATATCTTCAAGTACTAAAATGAACCATAAACCTCAAACTGCATCACTTGGAAGACACAACATTGACCAAAAAAAAAAGCATTCTTGAAAAAAGAGAAAGAAAAAACATGACGGTAACCAAAACTTTCTACTAAATTTTTTCTTTCTGAACTATTATACTTTGTTGCCTTCGTGCAGAGTCGCTGGAGCTCGATCTGTAACTCAAACTAGAACTCGAGTCCTGAGATTTTGCCTTCACCTTTAAGGTTGAGTCCTGATTTTTCGGATGCTTGTTCATATTCATTTGTTGGTTCACTAGCAGCATTTCCACTGTTTTCTTGAATACCAGAGACTGCAGTAGCTTCCCTCTCTTTGGCAGAAACTGCATCGTTCTGCTTTACCTCAGATGATCCATTTGATAAGTCTGAGGAGAGTGGAAGCTTTGCTGGATTAGATTGCAGGCCTTGTCGCAAAGCGTTACGGATGTCCTCTAGCGATCTTGCCTCGACGGCAAGTAATTTTGGATTGGTATCTGCGTGACCCTGCTGGTCCACAATCATACTTGGAACAATTACGTCCTCGACATCGACCCCTTCATGAAGTTGCTTGAAAGCCAAATCGATATCTTCCGCTGACCTTGCTTCAAGAACAGGCAGCTCAACATCGGTCTTGATCTTCATAAACTTGGGTAATAATGCAGATTCGGTATAGGCAACATGAGATCCCTCAGGTAGATCAATTTTCTCGACATTGAAGTCCTCGACGGTATCCAGCTCAGAGAGGATTCCTTCTTCAATCTCTTTAATCTTGTCATCCTCTTCACTGATATTTTCCTCAACTTCATAAGTGGCATATACTTCTGATGAACTTGACAAATGAATTTCATCTCGCTCAGGCTGGGTGTCTTCCTTATCCACTGCATGCCTATCTACTCGTTCGGCTTCAGAAGATTTATTGCGGTTCATTAGATGTTGTTGTTCCTCTGGTGAAAAATCCAACATCTTACTGATTCCTTGGTCAACAGCAAGAGTCATCCCTGCACCAAGGCAAAGTAAGTCCACTTGATTCTGGATAAAGCTTTATTCCTTATTTGGGACACCATCCTCCGATCCCTCATCAGAGGATGATGAAACCGCATCTCTTGAAACATATTCAACCACAGGTTCAAGCACCATTGACACATTATGATCAGCAGATGTGGTAGAAACCGATAATGAACCAGCCCGTGTAACACCATGCTCACTAATCTCTGGGAGATCCCTTGCCCTTGGTCTGTTTTCAAGTAAATACGAGAACTCATCATGCATCTTTTGGAAACTAGAAACACCCTGCTGAGTTGTTTCAGCATGCCCTTCAGGTTCCTTATCAGTTGACTCAGCCAACATTGAGGCTGCACCCATTTCAGATGTACCAGCTTGTCCGTCAGAAGAGACAGATGAAAACGAGAGGACCTTCTCAACTGATGGACTTGAATCATATATAGGCTCACTATGCTTATCATCTACCACCTTAACTGTAAAATGTTCGGATTCCTCAAATGATGGTTGTGAAAATATGCCAGATCCGTTAATTTCATGACCTCTGGGTTCAAAACCTGCAGATCCCTCTTCACGGGCAACCGATATCTTTTCATCTATTTCTGATAATGAAAAACTTGACACACTGCTAAAATCCTTGTCAACTGACTTTGTTTTGGGATGAATTTCACTTGGATTGAGTTCCACATGAGGCCTTGCTCTAGCTTTAGACACATTTGATTCTGTTTCCTGCTGATTTTCTCCATCACCCGATTCAATCGCAACAACATCATGATGAACGTCTCTATTCTCAGGTTGACCAACACGAGACATTGGTTCGATTTCAATTCCATTGAGCTCCACATGAGCGGATGCTCCAGCTTCAGGCAAATTTAATTCCATGTCCAGCTGACTTTCTCCATCCCCCAGTGTGATCTCAACAACCTCACGGCGAACAACTCTATTCTCAACTTGTTCAACATCCATGGGGTCAATGTCCCCAGACGATAGACTCTCTTGTTCATCATGAGAAGCATGAACTTCATTGGCCATCAATTCAGCTTCTTGAGAAATATCTTGCTCACATGATTTGCTGTCTTCCTCATCCACAACTGAACTCACTGATTCAGTATCAGGAACAGAACTCAACTTCGACTCACTAACGTCACTCAACTGCCTTTGGAATGAGGACTGGCTTGATCCTTCAGTCTCGAGGACAAAGTATGGTTTCCACTTAAGCTCTTTCCGAGTAACACCCAAAGATGATGGTCCTACATTGAAGCTTTCATGTCTTCGTAAGAAAGCTTCTCTTTGGGGAACTGTTTCCCTTTGATTAAAACCTGCGAACTCCTCTTGGAAACTATCTCCTTTAAGATCGGGTTTTTCCTCACCCGAGTCGTAAGGAAGATCGAAAGGGTTTCTTCTTGGCTGCAAAATAGAGGGAGCTGACCCTGGAATGGGTGGAAACCCAAGGTCATCATAGGAATCATAAGGATATTCAAATGGATTTCGTCTAGTTACAGAAACAGGGGTGATGTTTAAGGGAATATCAACACTATCCAAGCCTAATAGATTCTTCTCAATCATCGATCCCATGCTTTTACGTGCCCTTCTCCTCGCAATAAGATTATGCAATCGTTGGTTTCTTTCGAGCTCGGAAGTCCCCAAATCCATGAGATTCTTCTGATCATCCTCTGTCCATCTAATTGCAGATTTACTTTCGTCCTCTTTATCTCCCTTTGCTCCTTCTGCATCTCCGTCATCCTCATCATTATCTTCCTCCTGGTTTTCTAACTCATTGGACTCCACACTTCCATCATTATTACTACCATGAGACCTCTCCGAGGCGGCATCTGAACCATCATCAGACAACTGTACTGGTTGAGGAGCTTCAGAGCCCAAAAGTGGATCCAACTCATCAAGCTTCAGAACTATATCAGCCACTGAAGCAGCAGGAGAGCAACTCTCGGCATCACCAGGACCAGAATCATCATCATCCACAGATCCTTTCCAAGCGAACACCAGTGAAGAATCGAATTGCTCACCCCTTTGATCATCACTGAGATCTTCGAGTTTATGATCTTCCACTTCAAGATTCCCATCTCTAACCTTATCTGCCAAAACATGGTGATCATCTGATGCCTTCGCCATACTCAACAGATCTTCACTCCCTAGAATCTCCTCCCGGGTTTCCCTCTTCTTCTCCACCAATGAATCATGCGATGATCCGTCGGCCTCGTCAATCACTCCATCCTCACTATGAATATTCCTAGAATCCAAATCATCATTCACCAATAGTTTATAAGGAACAGAACCAACATTTTCCTCCACTTCACTGACCCCATTATCCACCAAACTAACTTTCTCCTCGGCTTCCTCGACCATACCCCTCCTCTTCCCTACATGTCTTTCTATGACAAAATCATCATCACCAACATCTCTCTCCACAACAGTATGATCCTCAGTAGCCCCCTTTTTCAATTCCGAAACTTCATGGCTAACTTTCTCTTCTTCTCCTTCCTTTTCATCGATTCTGGGTAAGTACGGTGATCCGAAGCTCAAAAGTGTGCCAAGTAAAACAGCAGTGCAAACCAAAACAGGAGATGCAGTAACCAAAGCAGAAAACAACAAAGGAAATGATTTATACAGAAGCATCAAAAAACAAATCAAACCAACCAAAAACGGATGATTCCAGACCGATTTATAACATAATTTAACTGATATCAACATGAATTTTCTAACTTTAACTCCAAATTCCAATTTCTGAAGTCCCATCTCTCAGTATCTATAAATCTATTTAAGAAAAGAACCAATTAAAAGACAAAACAAACAATTGGATCCAAAAGGACAAGTATATGACAAAAATTAAGTGTGAACTCACCTTAGAGATAGAACTGAATGAAAAACAAAGCAATCAAATGATGATCAATCCAATAGTTGGAACATCAACAATTAAGGGTTCTTCAGTGATAAAACTCGCAAAAGAAGAAAATTTTAAGCAAAGCTGAATCACATAAAAGTTTAAAACTTTGAAGCAAGAGAGAAAGAAACCAATAACATCTGGAAAATCCCAGAAACCCCGAGGCATGGAAATCGAAACCGGGGGAATGTTGTAAACGGTTAAATACAAAGAAATC